AGAGAATAAAAGGTTGGAGGCAACTTGTTATTTGGTAGTTGGGCTTTTTAATAGATCTTCTTTTATACTGCACCAGTAGTAATGGGTGAGATCGGTTTCTTAGGTAAGGTTTAGTTTCTCTATAAAAAGATAAATATAATTATTGTTGTCTATAATTTTATAATTTAGATAAATTCAATATTATCTAAATAATTTTTTAAAAAAATATCTTGAATTATTTTTAATTAAATTATATTTATAACAATTGTTTAAATTATCTTTAGATTTATTGAATTAATTGAGTCACATTAAATCAATTCTCATATTTTTACTTATATTTGAAGTTTAAATTGTGTAATTTCAAGTTAATTTATCAAATTAATATTTTGAATCATTGAAAACTTTAAAATTATTTCAATTGATATAGCCCCTTCAAATAACCAGGAAAATCCAAATGAACAGGGGCAAACAGCTCAAATAATCTCAAGTAAAAATTCTAAATTCGCAGCATTTTGTACTCTTTGCCCTGCCTTGCCTCTTTTTTTTTTTTTTTTTTTTGCTCTTCATATCATCAAAATAATTGTTCTAGGATGATATATCTATTATAATCTGCAGCATGTTCAACCTCAATGAGACAAAATGCTATGATAATAATCATTCATTTTAAATCTACCATTTATATATATACATAAAAAAATAGAAGTTTCCACAACCCATAACTAAGCAATTTTCCTGTCAGATATCATCTATCAGGAGAAATGCTATCACTTTTTTGTATAAATTTCTTGAGCAGAAATGAAGAGAACCCGTCAGGGATGGTGAAATAAAAAAATAGTCACAGCATGAACTGACTGTGTTCTCGAATTCTCATCTCAACTTGACAGAGGGAGAGAGCAATGTGTAAAAATACAAGTTTAAGAGGGTGTTTGTAACTATAATATTTTTAATTTATTAAAATAATTTTAATTTAAAAATATATTAAAATAATATTTTTTATTTTTAAAAATATTATTTGTAATATAAGTATATCAAAAAAATATAAAAATATTTTTAAAAAATTAAACAGTTTTTTTTCCTTCAAAATTTGACTGACCCTCATTTAATATACAATACCAAACAGGGTTAAGGCAGTTGTTGCAATGGCTGGCCCAGTTCTTTAGATGTTTTGTTAATTCAAATAAAAAAAGGAGGTTGCAATAAAATAATATCGTGCAATTCTATCCATCCAATACACATGCATAGGAATTATTCTCGTGCACACAATATCTTAACCACTAAAAAATAAAGGGATAATTCCACCATAGCTTTAAAAATATATATGAGCCTGCACCTTTGAACAAACTAACCTAGGTGGGTGAGACTCCTAGCACCAAATTTATTTTTGTATTTTAAAAATATTTAAAAAATAATAATTTTATTTTATTTTTTGTTTTAAATTAATATTTTTAAATTATTTAATATATTAATATTAAAAATAATTTTTTAAAAATAACTATAACTACGCTACCAAATACACCATGAAGAAATATCCCCTGCAGAAGTCTCAAGGAAGTGCCTTCTCCTCTAGGTGTCCCAAAATGCATGCATGCTGTCAGCAAAAACCCTACCCAATTATTGGATGAACTGTCTCTGCAAATCGGAGCAAGGAGAGAAGAAGACTCTTTTTTTTTTTAATCTTTTTTTTTTCTTTTGTTTTTAAGGTGAAGCCCCAGAAGCCTTCTGAGGCAATGTTTGAGGTGAGTACATTTCTGAAAATTAATACCAATTGATTGATATTGATAGATTCCCTGTCAAAGCAGTAGTGATAAACAAACTACTGATATCATTGGCAACATTAGACGACACTCCCTGCAAGAAAAACGTAAAAATAACACCAGCTGTGCAGCGCGATTTGTGTTTTACTCGGATTATGTATTTAAAAATATTTTATTAATTGATAAAAACTTTAAAATATTAATTAATAAAAAATTATAATGTATACTTTTTTTAAAAAAATGTAATCATATAAACCATCGGAATACAAAACAGTACTTAGATTTTATCTACTAATTTATTTTGTGTGAATAAGTGTATCATTGTATTTGTTCATTGATTGTATAATTGTACTTGCTACAATTAGAATAAACAACTAGATAGGTTGCTGTGTGATGTCATGGGCTCCTCCTAAAAACACGAGTTGCTTTTAATTATAAGATAATTAAAAAATATTTTTTTAATATGTAATTACAAACTAATAATATTAAAAAATATATAATTTTTTTAAGTAACAAATAAGTAATATATAAAAACCTTACTTGAACTATCTTAAATTTTGTATAAAAATCAAATTGTAAAATATAAAGAGTTATCAATTCAATATAGATATTGTTTGAGCAACTTAAAACAAAATATGGCATAATAAATGAAAAAAAAATATAAAAATCTAACTTTTAAATAGAAAATAAAGTCTCAACAACTATTAGAAAATACATAGTAATAAATACTTGTCAACTCCTTGCAACTATAAAGATTTGAATAGCCTGGTTAAGTGTTTAGAAAAACATTTTATGTATCCATTTATATATTTGAACCCATTATATAAAATAATCATGTTACGTGCCTTAAATGTTCACCTTAAAGGATATATTTTTTCTCCCGTAGAAAGCAACTTAAAGCCTTTTAAACTTTCTCGAGCAAGTATTGGCTAAATAGTTTCTTTTATTAAATTCTAGATATAAACTTCTAGATATAAATTGAAAAACCTATGCATGCATTTAATTAAACAATTCAATAACTATTATGTACAATAGTGGAAAAAAATTTCATCAGCATTAAAAAAATCAAGAAAACCAAGCAAGAAATAAAAATTAAGATATCTCACTTCGCAACATGATTTATCAAAATAAATTTGTAATACGAAAACACATGAAATTTATAATGGAAACTAACACGCATAATATTTATTTAACAATAATTAAAAAATATATGAAAAATCTAAAAAAAAAATATTAAAAAAAATCTATATAAAATTAAGAAAAAATCACTTATTATTTTACATTTATTTGTTTTTAAAAGACACTTATTATCCCCATACAATTATTTAATAATCAATAAGCCATATAAAAATATTGAAATACCCCTAACACAAGAGCATTTATTTTTTTTAGAATGACAAAAATGTAATTACACTATTGTATCAAATAATAAATTTTGTGTATATAGTAGAAGTACCTTCAATTCCAGTGTTTTTTTTTAATTTAATTACATGCTATACAACATTTTTAATACTGAGCGTCTTAAATCTAATAATCATCATAAACTCATGTTTTTTGGTCTAACAACCATACTAGACCTATATATTTTTGCAATTGACAACATAATTTTCTAGGAGAAGAGAAAGGAGAAAGGGAGGTAGGGAAAAACCCTTGATCTAAGCTTATCCTTGGCCTGCCCCGGAACATGTGCCTCGTCATTATGCCTGGGGTGGCGAGGCACATGGATAGTCGCTCATAAAACAACTCTCAATTTTGTTTTGGGGCTGCATGTGCTACCCAAATGGCGAGGGTGATACTTACCTACTCAAGCTTGCATCAACTATTTTAAAAATACTCAATTGCCTCCGATCCTTTGCTGGCATAATTGTATCTTTACTGTTTATATTTTTTCTAAAGACAAAAGATGCCCCCGACTTGAAGGTTAAAATTTTATGTCTTGAAGGGCAAATCAATATTTATTGTAGCCCAAACAATCTGAACGAAACATTTTGTTTCCAATTATTTTTTTTAATGTCAAATGTATTTCATGAAAAAAATAATTTTACCCTTAACTGCATGCTTAACAAAAATTTTTTTTAAGAATAATTTTATCGCTACACTACTCCAATCTATGGTAATTTATATCTAGATAAACAGTAAAATAATGAACAATCATACATTGAGCTCTTTTAGTTTTTGTTGTAATGAAACAATGACACACGGTGATCCAAATTACATGCAATATAGCAATACTTTTTATTAAGAAGAAACTATTAGGTATTACAACAACTTTTATTTTTTATCCAATCACATAAACACTTGTTCTGCTAGTTAAATAATTTTTTTATACCAGATTTTATATATGATTGTATTTTAAATCTAGATTATATAAAAGTTAAAAAAACATATTTTTAATTCATAAAGCCATACTTTTCACACCAGATTTAATTAAACATATATTTTTTAAAAGTTATTATCTTAAAATTATAATTAAAAATATTTTTCTTAAACTTATTTTTTAAATTATAATTATAAAAACTATCACAACGTCAAGTATATACTGAGAATCAAGCATAATTTGCATTTTAGGAAGTTGGAAAAGATATGTGTTTGATATTAAGATATATAATATTTTTTAAAAATATTTTTTATTTAAAAATATATCAAGATATTTTTTCAGGTTTTTTATATTAGAACATCAAAATCATAAAAAAATAAAAATAAAATTAATATATTTTTAATTAAGGACACTTTTGAAATTCATAAAATAAAAAAAGCTACCCGCTCCAAAACTATCACGCATCCCCAGTGTAAAAAGATTCAAATGGAGGAGCAAAGTTTAAAATATTATGTCATTGACTAAACATATAATTAAATCGGACATCATCAAATAGAATAAGATCGGGTTTCAATGTGTTTGATGCACACATCGAATATCATTTCACAAAGAACAAGAAATAAAACAATATTTGCTGGGGGAGATAAGACTAAATATATAATTAAATCAGACATAATTAAATAGAATAAAATTGAATTTTATCTTGTTTGATGTCCGTATTAAATAATATCATTGCAAACAGACCATGAATAACAGATTGAAAAAGACAAAATGAAACTAGAAATCAGAAGAGATAAAAAAAAAAAAAGGAGCTTAGAGAGAGATTGAAAAGTAGAGTGCGGTTAGACTTTGTTTTTTTTTAAAAAGTCTCTGATAAATTTTAAACGAAAAAGAAAAGGAGTAAAGAATAAATAAAAAAACCTTGAAATTTCAGAGTCCCAAAATGTCAGAAGATAGACAGGGAACATCCAACAACGACAAAAAACTCTCTTGTCTAGGAAGTTACCTAGAAACCCCTCTCTTTCCATTTCTCACTCTCTCTTCTTCTCTTCTTCTTCAATCTCTCTCCAAACATGAATCCTCCTCACAAAACGGAAACTGATCTCTTCCATAACCACCATGACCTGGTCCCGCCACTCCCTCCTCCTCCTCATCAGATCATCATCCCAACTCCTCAAACCCAATCACAACCGTCCATTCAAGACGACCTTTCTCTCCCCGAAATCGTCCTCTTCTGTTCCCCGTCCTCCCCCGATAACTCACCGAGTCAATCCTCCTCCGACAACGACGACTCCCTCAGTCACCACCAAAACAACCTCCACCACAACTCCAATCGTATCCACAACCCTCACGCGCCTGCCTTTATTAACCCTGAGCCACACATATCCACACAGTTCTACACGTTCAACGCTGACTCTCACACTCTTATGATCCGTTGCATACTCGAGCAGCGCCTCGCCACTCCCGACGAGATCCGGGCAGCGACGCCGTGCACGGTGTTGAAATCGTGGCGGAATGTCTGGAAAGATAGGAACGAAGACACCGCTTACCTAACGGGATGGAAAAGGATTCAGGAGAAGTTAATTGCGCATGTGGACCCTACATCTGGTAACGAATTTCTCTGTTTTAAAAATAATTCACAGCAATTTGTTTCTCACATTGATCAATGGCAAGATATAGTTACTAGTTTCCACGGCGACGCAGATTTAAAACATTTAGGGTTAAGAGAAACAATAGAGAGAATTAAACAAGTTTGGACTGTAGGTGCTAAGTTTTATGGAATACCGGAGAGTTTTATTAGGGTTTGTGTTGCTGCCTGTCCGGTCTGTTCCACGAGCGAGGGTTCTAATTCGCGGAATAAACGTAGGCGTTTTGAGTACACCGAGTCATTTGATGTGCCTGCGAAGGAAGTTCCAACGAAGTTACAGCAATTAGCAGCAAAACATAAGGTTGTGCTTTGTATTAGGCAGAAATATATTAGGTATAAACCATTTATGGCAGAGGTTAAGGATTATGCCTGCCATAGGGCGGGTGAGCCAGTTGCAAAGAAGTCAAGGATGTTGAAAAGAGAGCCTTATGCGTCAAAGAGGTGTGGGTGTGGCTTTAGGATTAGGGCGATTGTTCCAATTACGAATTATAATGAGAAGGATAAGACTTTTGTGTATCAAGAAGAGGGGATGGCAATGTTTAAGTTGTATGCAGTGCATTCAGGGCATGAACCGGGGCCATTGGATGGGAATGCGAGGATAATACATCGGGTTGTTGGGCATAAAGGTGGGTTTATGATGGATCAAGAAATGGTTTATGGGGTACGCGAGGATGTGGACAGTGAAGGTTTTGGTTTGTTGGGGAAGGATGATGGGGAATTTCAACTTTCAGTTTTGCAGCAGGTGCAAGAGTTGAGAGCTGAAATTGGGTTATTAGAAGGGAGATTGAGGAAAATCCCAAGTGAATTGATGGGTTCAGTGGCTCAGGAATTGTGTGATGTTGTCAACAAAGTTAGGAGCATTGGGGATGAGAGTTCAAAGACAATAGGGTTGCTTTCGCACAAGTCTCATTCAGATGATGTGTTAGTGGGGGGAAATGATCTGGCTCACTGGACTGATCACCATGAACGGCTATACAAGGAGACAGAATTGATCGAAGATGATGAAGATAGTTTTGGCCGGACACTTGGGGATGTTGTTCCCTGGGACCAGATGAGGGCAGAGTGTAGGAGTGAGAAGGACCTGTTGAGTGAGCCGTCTAAGCCTGAAAAGTGGTTGAAGTGCAGTGCTTTTGATGAGAAGAGCATTCTTGATTGTGAAGATACTAAACTAACCAAGCCCATGAGACATGATGAGGGTATAGTGACAGATGTAGGTCTTATACAGGTTGATAGTTTCTACCATGAGAATCCTAAATGGTATGATTCACCTTGTGGGTTGGACACCAGTGCAGATTGTGAGGACAGTGAATTCAGACATGGGGAAATTGTGTAGAGTCCTCAAGAGCCAGGTTAACCTGCTCTAACTTAGGGATTGAGATTAAATCATGCCCACTATCCATTCTGACATCTGGAAGTGGGCTGTACATTTATGTATACTGAAGAATGGAGCTTCTCACATGCTTCTGGGTATCTTTTGTATACTGCACTGTAAATTATGGCCAACTGGTCCGATCTGCACGTACTTTATTTATAACTATTTGTTAACAACTTTGTGGACCTTAATTTTCAGCCGGTTCCTACGGGTAATGCGTATCTGTGATGTGTTAAAAATTATTATATGTAATTCTTTGAGAATGTTTATGTATTATATACCCAATCTTTCTTTCTAATATTATTGCTTGAAGTTGTGTGAGGCTTCCCTCCCTCCCTCCCTCTGTCTCTGTATTCTTTTCTTTGATAAAAAGCTCTGAAACATTAGCTTAAAATGCTTTACTTCTCTGAATTACATAACCAGTAATTAAGGCTGTTTTCTGGCTTGTTTGTTGTCCTAGCTGTTACGATTGTCATCAGTTGTGAAGCTCCTAGAACATAATTTCTAGAGGTGCATATATCATGTGCATAGAAAGTCTACTAAATCTAATATGTTCATGGCCAAGTGGTTTCTTGCTGGACCCTCTATTGTATGAAGTTGTCAATGAACTTGTAGTGGATTCCTTTTATGTGTTTAGTAAAAAGTGGCGCCCCTTAGCTTATTTTTATGGAAATTTGATGTACAGGCTTCTTGCATCACTTGCACAATGTATATTTGCGGTTTGCTTTTTGGAGGGTATCTTTTTTTCCTTCTTCATCTGCTTATTTGTCCTTTTAACTGAAAGAAAAAAAAATAAAAACAAATCTTCGATGGTCAGTCCAACCTTTGGAAATTTCTAAATCTTGGTGGTGTTAGTTCCTATTACCACATTATTAACCAGAGAGCAGGAGTCAAGGATACATCCCTCACTCTTCCACAATTAATAGCTGTGTTCTCTTAAAAATGGGTGCTGTTCTTTTTCTTCAATCTCAGGATAGTTAGTTTGATTTCTTTCGGCATTTATTGTGAGTTGGTTCTTTGAGGTTCCTATTTAAAAGTTTCTGATCAGACAATGAAATTTTGTTCTCTATACATGATACAGCATTTTATCAAATTGAAGAATTTTTCAATTGTGGACAATGCATTCGGGAAAAGTTTTGCGCACGTGTGCACCAAGACTTTCAACAGTCTATGCCACAATCTATATTTTGCACTTGGAGGTTCAAAGAGCTGAAATATTAGCATGAGCTATGTATTTGTGCATGCAGACTGAGGCTCTCTACTGCTGTTTTGGCAACATCAAATACATCAAATTCAATTCAATTTACAAACAGCATGTATCTTAGATTCTTTTTCATATGCTTTTATCTTTTATTGGTTCTGGATCTGGATATCATTCAGTATCATTTTGTCTTGAAACTTTTTAGCCTGTTCAATAACAAAGAAAGTGGGATTTTTTAGCTAAATCTTGCATTGATGATGTTAAAATAGGAACATGGTGTGTTCATTATTCAGATCACTGATAAGTTGTTCTTGTAGGTGTTCTTTTCCTGTGCAGTTTTTCTTATATGGTTTTATCTAAAGGTTCAGATCATCGTGACAACTATTTGCAGAAGTGTTTCAGTCTTCAGTACTGCATTGATCGGATGCTTATGAATGAGGAGCAATGACCTGAGCTTGCTCTCATTTTTCCTATGAAGAATTTCAACCTAGGAATCAAAATGGCTATGTGAACAGCTTATGGAGGTGAGCACATAAAACCCCTTTTGTTGGATTCGATAATCCCTGGGGGACTGGTTATTCCATTATTAAATCTTGAAGGCTCCCAAATACTGAATTTTAATTTTGTATCACATGTATCCAGGTCTGGCTTACATGCCCAGCACCAGGAAGGCTTCTTTCTTGGCATATCCTTGCTACTAAAGCAGCTGGTATGTTCTTTAACAATTGATTCTAAATTTGGTCAGCATCGTATTCATGGTAAAAATGTCATCAAAATTTTCCTGAAAGAGTGGAGGTGGCTGTACACATTGATATACAGGATTTGCTGTTATGCACACAAATTTCTTAACAATTTATTTATTGCTCATGGCTTTCTGAAATAAATAGTCGTGATGTGTTTATCTAGAAACTCTCCTTTGCCATTGTTACTTCTGGAAATTCTTTGCCATAAGAAATGCCATCATTCTTATGGCAAGCTGAAAGGCTCCTTAAGGCTTTGAGCTAGGTTAAGAAATTTATAGTCTATTGGCAGACAAGCCATTGTTCTATTTATGCTTTTTGACATAAATCTGGTTCCATAGTCAAAATCTTACTTCTCCTCTTTTTTCCATGGCTCTACATGTTCATGCTAGCCCCGGTCCCTACACTCACAAATCAGGACATTCTTAAGAGATACACATATCACATACCGACTCCATTGTTCATTATTCATCATATTGTATTGGCTTTTTAACTCTATAGTGCCTCCTTTGTCCTTTGAATAAACTTATTTAATCTTCATTTTTTAAAACAAATTTTTGTTTTGTTTCATTGCTGATGCACAACCTTATACTATCTGTTCTGGCTAGGCCAGACTAAAGTCCATTTGGAAGCACCTTGGAAACCATGAAGGTATTGCTTTGAAGATCAAAGAAGGCATGCAGTAGGAAAAACCTTTGAGTGGGATCCAAATCCTAGGAGAAAAAAATTTGCGTTTTTTGCCCCCCCTAAAGAAAAGATAGTACTATTCGAACACTTAAATCAACTGATGTTGTGTTATTTTGCTTTACTTCTTCCTTAACCATGCCCCCCACCTTATTTTCTGTTTCCGTTCTCTATCCTTATCTTAGAGGTCCAGCTCAGATATCTAAAGTGAATCTCCCTTTTTGATACTCTCATGTAATTCCCTTTTCTCATTATCATCTTCCCCATATCCCAAGTGTTGGATCTAGGATTTTGTGTATATCAAGGCATCCGAGATTCCTTGGTGCTTGATCACGCTAGGCTTTGGGGTTTAAAATTATAATCATGGTAGATTGCGAGCTACAATTAGATGTCATTTGACTATGTTTCCTTTTCTTGACTACAAACTTGTGAAAACGTGGCTGGGAACTAGAATCAAGTTCCCTCACATATTTGTTCCTTGTTCCTGCGAGTTATATTGAACGCCTTGTGGCTTTGTATTGAATATGCTTCAGACAATATTTATGAAAAATCAACTTGCCAATCGTACTTGATAATCAAGGTTCGATGTATATGTGATTTGCTGACAACAATGATGGAAATTCCTTCTTCAGGGAATTACTCAAATTTGTTGTCAAAAGTTAGAAGACAAACAATTCAAAATCCCCCTTCGCCGCCTGCTCGCTTATTGTTGCCAGTTCTTTGATGGATGCTCTCATGCTCCAGGCACTGCGATCACGTGGACTGCTCATCCGTCCAAGTAACTGGGCCTGATATTGGATTGATGTGCTTTTACACCAATTTTAACAAGTGGAATTCTCCCTAAAACTTGATCATGGGCTTAGTGAAGTGAAAGAAACATTAAAGGTAGAGAAATGAAATATTACGATTTTCATTAGATTGTGACCCATACAAACGGAGCTAACAACACTAGAAGGGCAACAGAAGCCACAGCCGATTGTATCCTAAAAATTCCAAGGAGAGCTTGGAGGCTTAAATGTAACTTGTGGCAAGCATGTAGACACAAACTCTCGAGTCAGCTCTTCACCATTAACTTCCTAGTCCGATGGATTATAGAAACCTGTCATTTCTGTTGATGTTTGTTGCACTTGTAACTGATCAAAATGCGTTGATATGTTAGAGCTTGAAGCTAGCTTTGTGAACGATGGTACTTCTGAGGATGAATCAAGAGTTGTTTGAGAGGGGCTTTGAGCACACTGAGATGGTGGCTGAGGTTGAGGGAGGCGCTGCAATGTCGAAAGGTTGGCTTGAATGAAGGCCAGCTCCGCTTGCAAATTCAATACCTGTGGTGACAAGATAAATTCTCATCAGAATCCTTTCAAGTAGCATCCAAATTTGAACTTGCAATCCAGGAACAAAAAGATATCGCCTGTTCTATAGCTCATCTTTTTTTGGATAGTAGGTGAAGAACACAAGATGCTCTTGGAGCTGCTGCAACCATATATCGAACTTAGAACCCGGACAAGGAAAAAAGACTTCAAAAGTTAAGAATTCAAAGATCAGCTGCGACTATGATGGCAGCCAGATATAGGGTTTTTCTTTTTATCAAGCAATTAAAAATCAATTTCAAAAGAGCTAGAGATACTTCCAAATTGACTAGCTAATTATATCTCACAAAATTTAAAGCTTTTCACCTCCTTTTCTTTCCTCGCAAAAATTCATGAACAGCGTAAACGAGGTGCTTGAAGTAAGAGCGCACTCACCTCCTTTTCTTTCCTCGCAAAAATTCCTGAACAGTGTAAACGAGAAAAAAAATCCAAACTACTAAGAGCGCATTCCGTTGGTATTAATTATATTTTCCATATATATTGAACTCTCGGACTCTCTCTCGAGGTGCTCGAAGTAGTCAATGCTAACAAAGCAATGGCATTTTACCTAATCCAATAAAGCAAGCACCCCATAATTAAGTGGTTATCTGCCCAACGAGCCTACATGTAGAAATCATAGGCGCTCCATGAACGACTGTGCGCTATCATACACGGATTTTTCAACAAACTATTCAAAAATGAGAAACCCTAACAAAACCCACCAGCAAAGGTTTGATCATGATAAAATGATCCGAGGCATATAAATAAATTGTCTTCCCGTGTGAATGTAAGACTTTTGGGATCTAGCCAGATTTACTGCATTAGAACCAACACATGGGTCTAGGTCCCACTACTATTATAGCTTCTTACAAGGAGACATTAACCCTCCTTAATTTGTTGATCATAATAAATGCATCAAGACTTCGACTTCAATATGTGGCAGATTACGAGTAATAATTATTTAGGACTATACATCAAAGTCAAAACCATAGACACTTAAATATTTCTCGAGCTTGCTGAAGTTTGCTTTGTACTCCGGCAAGCAACAAGATCCCCCTTCAGTCAATTCTCTCTCGGAGTTTTACCATTCACAGCTCAAGTTGGCTTAAATTTCACGCAATTTTGTTGAAAAATTAATTTGGTTACACCCCAAAACACTAAAAAAATTCACTCAAAAAATGCGCAAGAGTTTCACTCAATTCATTACATCGAGAAAACGAGTGAGAAGTAATGTTTGGAAGAAACCAAAGAGAAGTTAGTGAACCCTAAGTAGAATCCACAAGAAAACTTAACTTCATGTAAGAGCAGTTTGGGACTAGATAACCAGAAACCCTACAGAAGGTTCACATTAGCAATACTTGTTCAAATTCACGTATAAATATGCCAAACCAATGACTTGACGAACTAGTGAAACCGGCAAATAGTAACGTGCAAACCTCGACCAGCTAGATCCTCTACGGTTCTAGTCTTCAAGACGAATCGTTATGCTGCCATGAACAGGACAACGCCTGACGAACAGTTTGATCCATGTTGAGAATTCCTTCTAGCATAATTACTTGATGACGATCTAGTTTCTGATTTATCCATATATTTTCAGCTCTATTTCTATTTTCAAGGACTACAAAAACAGAAAATTCTCTACATATGAACTAAAGGGGCCAAAAGCAAAACTTACACTATCATATTCAACGTCTCCAAAGAAAATTTATCACATGAAGGTCTTTTGAAGGTAGTTTAGAGGATAAAGAAAGCAAGGGAAAGTTCTAACACAAAATCCCTTGCAGTTAATCATAACTTTGAAGCATAAAACACAAACCATTTGTAAGCGGCACGATGTTGTCGACCCCAAATTCATTATGTCAATAGATGAGTACTCTTAAACCTCCAATGGATAGCAAAGGCAGAGGTGATTTAGTACTAATAAGCTACAATTAATCTAAACCATATGGGAGCTTATATATATATATATATATATATATATTAATCACTCACAATTTTATTCTTCTACCACCGTTCTGTGCAAGTTTAGAAGGGGATAAATGAGGAAGAAAGCTAAAGATGAAAACCCTGACCAAACTTAGCCTTCAAATACTAATTGAAAGGTTTTTGGCCAATTATCATCAAGAAAAAATATTTACCTGTTGTTGGAGAGTGAAAATGTGACCTACACAACCATAAACAGGGTCTCTAACCCTAGCCAAGGCCTCATAACAAAGAGTTACAACAGCATCAAGACGCTTGTGAGCAGGTATGCGCAAGAGCAGCTTAGAAGCATTGCTAGCACCAAATACCTTGTGCACCGCTGCAAAGTGAGCTGTCCCTTGATCAGGATCAAAGTATGGTGCAAAAATGCACCCTTTTACACACTTTTTCCGGAGGAACTTGCAGGCACCACAAGGCCCACTCCCATTATTTGTACCAGCACTCATCATCTTCTCTCTGCAGAAACAATCCACTTCCTTGGGGTTTCAGTTTTACTCTTTGTGGGGTCTAACTAGCTAGATAGAAGATAAAGAGGGAGAGAGATAAAACGAAGGCATGGATGGGTATTTATTTACTTCTTTAGAGACCACAGAAAGGTCTGTTTAATTTTTACTCCTTTGTTTTTGTTAATTATTATTATTAATTTTTTTTTTTGAAACTTTGGTGATGGGTCAATAGTGTGAATTGGCTGTTTAGTTGAATATTGTTTTTTCATAAGAAAAACAGTTTTATTTTTTAACTCCTTGATATTAATTATTTTAACTTATATCCAAATGAGTTAACACGCATACCTTATTATTTTAAATTTAAATTAAATAAAAAAATTCCCTTTCTTTCATTCTTTCCTTTTTTCAATACTAATTAAAATATAAGAAAAATAAATGAAGATTTTCATAATAATTGAGAAAGATTTAATATAGCTGGTGAAGAAATGATGGAAAATATATATCTATTTCTTTTTTATAAAAAAACACACGTAGCTAATCATAATTAAAAAACGTGGAGGGATTAAATTTTAGCAAGGAATGTACTTGCTAATTAAAACTTTAAAGCCACGGCAACTACAGAGGAAGCAGAGGGGGAGCAAGATTGCGTGAAGCAAACATACATGCGGTGAGGGACAGTGCATCAACATCCAACCGCCGCAGCTGTGGCC